TTGCGGACTCCCCAAATGCTTGCTTTAGCATTTCATAGGTTTCCGTAGCCGTTTTGGCGAGTCTTTGGCAAAATTTGATGCACACGCCATTCCGAAATCGCAGGAGGGTCGGTGTAATGCACTACCAAAACGCCCGTAACTAAGAAACAAATGCTAATTTGATGATGCCGGCTGGCACACTGATTCACTATGAATGTAGGCCGCACCCCCTAGCGGCAGAAGCTCGTACTACATCCGGTTCGCCCTCTATTAACACAGTCTTGAAACTTTCCGATCGCACCTCGTATGAAGATAATATAGCAATCAACTGAAATTTCAATTTCCTTTGAAGCCGAAGATGACTGTCTTCTGGGTTGTAGCACCATATAGTCTGATAGAAATTTATTTATGTTTCAAAGGTACTCTGCCAGACTACATGATGCTGCAACTCAGATGACAGTCATCTTCAGCTTCGAAGGAAATTGAAATTTCAGTTGGTCGTTACATTATCTTTGGTAAAGTTGTGAATATGCATTTTATCATCTAACACATTATACCAACAATAAAACAGGAAGAGTGCAACAGCTGTATTAGGATTGTTTAGCTAATCAGCACAGCAGATAATGATCCATATTTCATCTGAAAGATTATCACACTGGTGAATTTTGATGTTTTGTACAATGCAAAAAATAAATGACAATATCCAAGTGGAAGTTGCCATCATTATCTTGAGCTGTGACCTGTTGTGAAGGGATAGCAGAAGTACTGTAAAGGGAAGGTGATGCTTGAAGTTATTTTTATTGGTAGGGTATCATGAGTTTGTTCTGACTGCATTATGGCCAAGAAGAAGAACAAGTAGGTCTGTCTACAGGCTATGTGGGCAACCAAAGAACAGGTGCTCTTGTATGAAAGTATCCAGCACATTGGTTATTGGTTGTATGGTAGCAACTTTTGAAACATGGTTCTTTGATGCTTTTCCACCTACTCTTTCCAGTCTCACACCATTTGATTTTCACCTTTTTCAATGTTTGAAGAACAGTTGATGGGAACTTAAGGATGCAGTGCATAGCTTCAAAGACTGCATTGCATGTGGTAGCTTTCAGAAATGTAAACAAAAGTATGAATTAGGAGAAGTAGCTGCTGAAGGACAGTATTTTTAATGCAACTGCATCAGTGGGTTCTTAGTGTCATCATAGCTGATATATGGTAACTAGCCCATAACATTTTGAAGCTACCACATATTTAATGTAAGACTGCAATGTTAGAAATATTGTAGATTAGACTGTAAATGGGGTGGATGCCTAATTGACCTTTACACCATGACCATTTCTTGATCATTTGTGCATACTTATTCACTTATTCCACCAACAGTACTGTACCTTCTGTGAAGTACAGTGTCCTATATAACAGGATCTCATTGGAAGCTCTGTGTTAAAGAGTTGTTTTATGGTTAGCCTTAATTAAGGCCTTGCTAATTGTTCCAGGTCTCTTAGTCCCTGGGTCTTTGGAGAGGGCTAACTTCTTTAACTAGGGTACTTTTTAGGCCTTTTAGATATCCTGGTTAGGGTCTCCCTAGGCTTAGTAGTGCCATGTATCCCTGGTGCCATAAGCCTCTTCCAGGTGTATAGATTTTTGCAATTTATGTTATTTAGAATAATGTGACTGGTTTAAATACAATTTTTTTGTGTGTGTGTATATTTTGAGAGGATATCTAATGCAAATATAGTATATATGATTTGTATTTCTTCACTAGACAGCTATGAATTTTATCTTATTAATGAGTAGACGGCCATATTTATTCAACCCACCTAATTTCAGTGTTTGTGATTTTATGATTTCTATCACTGTGTAGACTGATGTCTCTTTGTGTTGCGGCAGAGTTCACTATAATATGTGTTTGCTTGATGGTAATACATCACATCTTTAATTCCAAAGGGTTTTGTCGATGGTAGTTTACACTTAAAATTATTCATTGTCAGGTCTTTTTCCATCGTCTGTTCTTTAAAACCCATGACGTTTAAGAGGCTGATTCTGTCTTCGTCTTCAGGTGAGAGGTACCTACTCTGTTGGGTCCCTTAGATAGAGCTAGTCTCTGTCACTGGTCAATATAAATCATGCAATTGCACTGACAATGAATAATCACATCTTTAATTATATTGTTTAATTTTTGCATGAAAGATGTCTGTATAAACTCAGAATATATACTTTGTGAAATCAATAAAATAGAAAATAAGTATGTAACAGAGAATTTGTTCTTTCAGGAAAGAAATAAAACTCAGGCTTCTGATACTGATGAGTTGAATACCACAATAGAAAGTGACAAATCAGCTGATAAAAGAAGCAGAGGTGAAAAAAGAAAAAATTGGGATAGCGACAGATATAGTGAAGATGGAAAGAAAAGTCATTCCTGCAAAAGGACGGCAATCGGAAGTAGGTTACGTCAGTGGGATAGTAGTAGCAGTGAGGATAGTCAGGAAAGTGATGATGGGACACAGCAAGATGTGGGAATTAGTGTGGGGGTTGAAGGAAGTAGCAAGAGTGCATCTCTCATAGAGTGGTCTAAATTTGAGGAAAGTGCTGCAAAACTAACGGTTGGTGTGGAGGGTGGTGCAAGTGATGAGGATAAATTGATCATTGCCTCAGAGAATATTAACCTAAGTGATACTGGTGACACCAGAGACCGTGTGCTTCCATGTAATGGTGCTAAAGTGAAACAACGTGAGACTGACTATGAGAGTAGTGAAGTGGAGAAAAGTGCAAGAGTGACTGCATCTGAGGTGGTAAAGAAGGTTTTGGCAGGTTCAAGCATTGCAGACAAGCTTCAAGAGAAGCTGTTCAGGTTAGAAAGGTCTAGTAAAGATTGTAAGGATAATGAAGAAACATCTCCTGAAGTAATCTCTGAAAGCATGTCAGTTGATCAGGAATCCTCTGCTGAAGTGGTTAAGAACACAGAAAATTGTTCAGGGAACCCTGAAGACTGTGAAATATCATCAGTCTGTGCCAATGAAAATGATGTGAAAAATTTGAAACCAGAAATGTCATCTGACAGGACTAGAAAGGATAAGGATGATGATGCTGAAAGAAATTCTGTAACCTGTCACTCATCTGGATCAGAACAGAAGAGGGGCAGATCAGAGACACCTGTTGTCAATAAAACTCCACTCAAAGCTGAAACCAGATACTATGGTAAACAGTACTCACCTAAGGTGGTTCTGTATAATTTGGTTTTACCTGCTGGTAAACTCCTGCAGGGGAAAGCAAGAAATATAACAAATGAGATTTTGTCTGTTAAAAAGCCTCAAGCAAAATTGAAGAAATGTTCTCTCTCAGTTGCAGAACCTAAGAAGGTTCAGGAAAAAGTACCTGAGGAATGTCACACAAAGAAGGTTACTTTACTTGAGGATAATGGTACAACTTCAAGTTCGGAGACTTTAGTTAAGAACAAGCTAGAAGTTTCTGTTCATAAGACTGACAGATTGCATGGTTCAGAATCCATAGGTAAAAAATTTGAAGTTGTCAAGGAAGACAGCAATATTGAGCCTGAAAGTCAGTCAGGTTTGTTTCCCTCATCTCATAAACTCAATGTAGTTGAAACTGATAAATTTAATGTGGTTGGATGTAATGCACCTACAGGTGTAAAAATGAAGGTTGCAGTGAGTGATAATACAAGTGAGAGTGGAGAAAGTGACATTGTAATGGACTCTTCAAAACGGACACCAGAACATGGTTACAGTAGATGTTGCACTGATAATTTTTTAGAAAATGGTGCGAAGATGCTTGAGCCCATGCAAGATACCAAGTCTAGTGAACAGAGGAAGGTTTTGGTTGAGAAAAATTTAGAACATGATGGTGATCAAAGCTCTGAGTATGTATCAGAAACTGTTAAGGAAAAGGGCAGTGTATTAGAATCTGTTCAGGAAACACTAAAAAAATCAGAAGATGTACAGAACTCTTTAGAACTAGAAGCAGAGTTGTCTGTGGGTATGGGACCTGTTAGTGAAAAAGTTGCTGCCAATGAATCACCTCCTGATGACAGGGGTGCCTTATGTGGGTCTCTGAGCAAAAATATTGCTTGTAATTCAGTTTCAAATCCAGGTAATGCAGATTTGGTTCCTGTAGAGCAAAGCTCTGATAGGGAACCCCCACCTGAAGAGGCAAATGCTAATAAAGTTCTTGAAACAGATAGTATAGAACAGTCCGTAGATAAAGTGAGTGACTCAACAAGTAAGATGGAAACCTGTGGTGAAGAAAGTAAGGATGGTAGGACAGATTCTGTTGCAAATAGTAATAATCATAAGGATAATTCTGAGGTACCTGTTAAGTTAAATACTCCTCAAAACACTGTGCTGAAAGTTTATCCTGCAAAAACTAACAAAGCTTTGGATAAGAAAATTAAAGACTGCAAGGCAAGTGAGATGAGTAGGACTGAAGCTCTCGTAGGGAGTGATGTGACCATCACCCCAGCTGCTTTGGTCAGTGCACCTACAGAACAGGAGGATGAAGCAAATAAAACAGCTACCAGTGTTATTAAGGAAACAGATGACAGTAGTATTGCAGACAAGAAGATCAAAGAAGAACCTTTAGATCCCGATGACTTAGTGGCAGAATCATCATCATCTGTATCTACCTTGGTACTGTCCAGTGCTCAGTGTTCAGCCAAGACATCACCTGAACTTAAGTTGCGTGGTTCACCAAGTGAGAAGAAAGAAGCAGACAGTGACAACTTTAATAAAGGAAAAATAATATTTAGTAAGAAGCTGCCTTTGGCTGTGTTGGAGGATAAAGAAAGATTAGCAAGTAATGAAAGCCCCTCCTCTGTGTCAGAGAAAGATGGGATCTTCCCATCACTTTTTCTTGACCCAAGTATAACAATCACTGTCATCAATGATAAACAGGCTGACAATGTAGATGTGCCTGTTTTAGGTAAGAGTAAAGTTAGCAGCAGTGATATAAATGTAAATGAACTCAGGGCTAGTGTAAACCTTTCAAAAGATATCAGTTTGACAGTGGTTGGTACAGGTTATGGTGGACATTCTAATTCAGCTAAGGGCATATCATCAAGTTCTGTGACACCATTGGAAATGGAGTGTGGCCATGAGAGTGACCATGACAATTCACGTAATGCATCAGTAAATGCTACCTCTGCGTCAATTCCCGTAGCTGCCCAAAATGCTGTGGTGGGACACAACAGCACTAATAGACAGAAGAAACAAAAATGTTCAGTTGGCAGTAATTCTCTTCAAGCAAGATCTAGAGCTAGGAAGTCATTCCCTAACAGGCCAGTTTTTCCAAATGTCAAAGTGAAATCCCACCCTGAACTTGTTAATGGAGTTGGGACATTTGGTAATAAATCATCAGTGGTAAGACGCAATTCTGTTGGCACAAATTCAAACAGTTCAGACTCAAGACGTAGCTCATATGGAACTTCACCTCAGGAGATGCTGATCACAGCACAACAGTTAGGAGATGCTAGTGGCAGTGATAGCAACAATAATAATTCTGGTAGTGCTATGGTTGCGTTACCTCATGTGTTGGGTAATCCAACCACAAACCATATTCAGGCCCTGAGAACAGTGAACAACAATATTGGAGCACCATCTCATATTGTGAACAGTGGTCCTGACATGATGCCCTCACGGATGGTGCAAGCTCCTCACAACCAACCACATTCGGTGGGAAATGGTACCAGGATTTCACCAGCAGGACAGGGGCCTGGTGCTGCAGCTGCTGCTTCACGCATGCCACCTCAGCTGCAGCCTCGACCTCCAGGTCCCCTCCTGTCACAGCATCCTCCTCCTATACCATTGGAGGCAGGTCCTGTGTCTGCAGAACTGAACAGGCATGCACATAAGGTACTGAACTGCTGGTTTTTTATAACTATTTCCTTAGACTTCATGATCTGATAATCTTATAATATTTAATAACTGGATCAGCATCAGTTTGTGGCATTATTGCACTTCTGTCATGTGGCACTTTTCATCTGTACCTTACTATCTAATCAGCTTAGTGTGGGACACAACATATGTTTTCTGTCTGAATGAAGTTGGTATAAAAGTTCCGTTTTATATTATTAGCTTTATGATAAATCCTGAATGTAAAGTTAACTTAAATTGATATGAAGATACAAGAGGCAGCTTCCTATGATCAAAATACTGAATGTTCAGTCTGTCATGTAAATATATAAAATTTACATTCTTTGCTGAAATAGATAATGGTGTTGGTTTCAGGCAATATGTTGTCCTTTCTGTCATGGGGAGGGATGGTTAATTTTAAGTGCACATGTTGAATTTCTTTGTTAAAATTTCTGATGTTTATATGTGAAACAGCTCAGTGATTTCCTGAGGACAACTGTAGAAGAAATACTTCGTGATCTGTCCAACATTGGCAACCCTGAAGCAACAATTAAAAGTTTACAGCTAGAACTTGAGAAGCTACAGTGGCGTCACAATCAGGAGATGGCAGAGATGAAGCACAACACAGGTTTAGTAGTTAATTATCTGTTAAATGATTGCAATTCTGATTTTTATTCTGAACATCTTTGTGTTTAAATTTTGCCCATTCTGTGAAGAAAGATTGTATGAGGGATCAAAGGTATAGTTAAACATCATTTATTGTGAAATTTGTCACTGGTGTAGTTTTGTAAAAGTGTACAGATTTAAAACAAACCTTTCAACCAGGGATGAGCAAAGTTAGTAATGTGAGCCATATAAGGAGGTCGAGACTTCAGTGTGTCAACAGGTGTGCATAAATTACATATGTTGCAACAAACAAGAAAACTAATGCACATAACTTAAGGCTGTCATCTTAATCTACTACTTGAAGATACAGCATGCCATGATGCTAATGTTTAATGTTATTAAATGATTGTCACTTGTATGCTGCTATATGACTGTCAGATCTTCTTTCAGAGTTACATGAGTACATTCTGCTCTGTCCCTTTAATATTTTAATCCAGTAAGTGTGGTGCCAGAATGGATGTTTTATTTTTCATTATTTAGACTTGATGATGATGGAAATGCGTGCTAGTGTTGAAAGTGAGAGGCAGCGTGCAGTTGCAGAGACTATACGGCAGTGTGAACTGGAAAAACAGAGGGCTGTGGAAGAAACAAAAAAGAAACAGTGGTGCACCAACTGTGGAAAGGAGGCTTTATTCTACTGCTGTTGGAACACATCGTACTGTGATTACCCGTGCCAGGTAATGTGAGATTCTGTATGATGTTTAGGGTATAATTCCAGAAGGTTGTTTCAGTATATTTGTGTAAGTGGAAATATTTTGTCCAACAACATATAATAGTGGGATGTATGTCATGCCTGAAGGCTGTAATGCTGTTACTGCTCTACACAGAAATACAAAAAGTTACATTTGGGTGTATGGACAATAATAATGCACAGATGTCAAACCAAATAAACACAAAAATTGTCTCCTGTAAATCAACCATTTTATTGATATACCCTACTGGCAAGATATGCTCAATGTGCATTGAGTTTGCCAGCATTGCTCATCAAGTGTTCTCTTAAAGAACAAGAGTGAAGCATGGAATATTACAGTGTGTTGATTTTCAGAAGAAATTTTACAACAAAAAAATGGAGAGATTGTTTTATCAGTGGTCAGTCCTTATGTCACTGAAATGATATGAGTCATTCTGAGGGTAGGTAGAAAGTAAGCAGTTGTCACATGGTCTACATCTGTCCTTGAGTCTTTATTTCTTTCTGTTGCAATGCAGTTTACATTTCAACAATGAGTGTTCATAGTGGAATATTTTATTACGAAAAAAATTTACAGGAAGTGCATTGAATGTTTATAAATTCACAGATTTGTGAATTTCCGAAGCCTGGAGGCAGATGGAATAATATTAAAATTGGCTTTATAGCAATAGGATATGGACTGTATTTATCTGGCTCAAGATAGGTTCCACTGACAAACTTTTGTGAACATGGTAATGAACCTTCATGTTCAATAGAAGGTGAAGGATTTTTTGGTGAGACTCAATCCATTGAAAGAAGTCTCGTGTGGTGAGGATGATGGCACTTGATGGTTTCTCCTCTCTGTTCATTGATGTATTTCTTTTTGGCCTCCACTGAACTATGTTAGCCAGTACAAAGTGCTGCTAGTGAAGGTTATCATTACCAGCATTCTTCTGAACAGAGGGGCTAGGTGATTAAATTGGACTTATTTCCACAGCCTCAGTGTAACTTAGTAAAAGATTTTTTCATGAAGGTAGTTATGAGGTTTGTCCAAAAAGTATCCGACCTTGGGCCGGGAAAACAAAGTTCTATATCTGGGGGGTTACAATACCTAATCCCCTTCAAAGTAGGCCCGTTGTGACTCCACACACTTAGCCCAGCGGTCCTTCCATCGCTGGAAGCAATTCTGGAAGACTTGTTTTGGAATGGTGTGCAGCTGCGCCGTCGCGTTCTGTATGATGTCCTCGTGGCTGCCAAAACGGGAGCCTCTTGGCGGTGTCTTCATTCTCGGGAACAGCCAGAAATCACAAGAAGCCATGTCAGGAGAGTAGGGAGCCTGGCGAACCTGCGGAATGCCGTGCTTGGCCAGGAAACCCTGAATCAGGTGTGATGAATGAGATGGGGCATTGTCATGATGCAGCTGCCAGTTGCATGTGTCCCACAGCTCCGGTCTCTTGCGCCGAACTGCATCACGAAGATGACGGAGGACTTCTTGGTAGTACTCCTTATTGACAGTTTTGCCTAGTGGTGCGTACTCATGATGCACAACACCCCGGTAATCAAAAAAAACAGTCAGTATCACCTTCACATTGCTCCAAACGTGACGTGATTTTTTGGGCCTCGGGGAAGTTGGATGCTTCCATTGTGACGACTGGACCTTGGTTTCCGGGTCATATCTGTACACCCACGACTCGTCACCAGTGATCACAGTCTTCAGGAACTCCGGATCCCTGTTGGTGCACTCCAGCATGTCCTTCGCGACCTCAAGGCGGAGTTGGTGCTGCTTCGGCAAAAGCAGCTTGGGCACAAATTTTGCCGCCACTCTTTGCATGCCCAAATCCTCAGTTAAAATCGTGTTTGCGGAACCTCTGCTGATCCCAACCTCATCAGCAATTTCCCGGACGGTCAAATGACGGTCCTCCATGATCAATGTCTACATTTTGTCAATGACATCAGCATTTGGGCTCGTTGACGGTCTCCCGGAATGCTGGTCACTGTCTGCTGACATGCGGCCATCTTTAAAGCGGTTGAACCAGTCTTTAATTTGAGTGACCCCCATTGCATCATCACCGAAAGCCTGCTGAATTTTGCGGATTGTTTCCACTTGGGTATCCCCAAGTTTCTGACAAAACTTGATGCAGTATCGCTGCTCCAAGCGTTCCATCATCTTGAGCGAACACGTGTTACACCACTTCGCTATCTGGCAGCGACAGACGCATCCGGCGATGCTGCGAGGAAGCAAAAAATCACGCATGCACATGAAAGTCCCTTCTACCACTATGCTCAGTTTCCCCACCCTTTCACAATTACTTACTGCGGAAAAAAATATAGTCGGATACTTTTTGGACAGACCTCGTATATCAGAAATTATACAATCAGATAAGTGTAGTGTATGCACTCCATGGTATAACATTGTTTATTAATATATGAACCAACCAGTGTGCCTCCATTGTGAGAAACCAGAATCTTATTGCATTGCCTATTTTAGGAATATGTGATATTTGTTATTTTGCAGCAACGACATTGGCCACAACACATGTCAACATGCGCACAGAACACCCAGCAAGGTGGTGAGGGGAATGTTCGTGAAGGTGATATACAGCAGAATAACCCTCACACTTCTGGTGGTAGCAGTAATAACAAGCCCAGTGCATCTCAGCAACAGCAGGTATGTCCAGCCATCTACAGGCTTTGAGAGTTTTTGACCATCTGCTACAGTAGGATAAGCCAGTGATATTCACATCTTTGCCATCATAAGTTACACTGAGACCAATAACTGATGTATAAACAATAATATACTTTAGATAAGGGGTGGCCGGCATTTTTCATTAGGCATGGAAATGCAGAAAAAATAGTAGACAAGATTCTCTCAGCTGCTAAGAGTTTTCTTAGGCCAGGGAATGTTCACTGACCATAAAAAACAAAATATGATATTCGCTTTGAGTTGTGTGCCTTCTCCCTCCCATTTTCATGGATAAATCAGCATAATAATTTCCTCTAAAGGTGTGTTAAGAATGGTTGAGGTTTTTATTTTTTATTGGAAAGTCATAGGAGAGCATTTAGTATACTAGTAATAGCTGTTGTATTTTCTAATGTAAGTGAGATCAGCAGCTGACATTTTTCTCATGTTTACAGTTTGTGATGTTTTCCCTTGTGCTTGACTTTGAACCCTTCAGGGTTGCATCATATTAACTAAGTTGTGAGATATTCACTGCTCTCTGCTAGAAACAATTTATAGGCTGTATCCAAAGTAATGAGTTTCTCAGCAGTTCCTGAAAAAAGTACAAATATTTAATCTAAATCAATTTTAATATTCTTACTGACATGTACTAGACCATTTTACAAGTAAAGTGTACCATAGGTACAAGTTAGGATTTCAATCTCAAATTATAGACATTTATTCATGCAAAATATTCATATAGCTGTATCTACCAATTTTAAATTTTTGGTCTTTTTGAATCACCATTGTGCTTCCTCAAACCACGTTTCGAGAGATGGCATATCCCCTGTCCTCAGGTGAACCTACACAGTTGAGACAGTTTGATGGAGCTAATCTCAATCCGTGGGCACTGGGAAATGGACTCATTAGCCTGTATAATCCAACTGCAAAAATCCATCTGTGGTTATAACATGTAAAGTAAGTGTTAAAATTATATAAGCTTTCAACCAAGATGATCGTCCAATACAATATAGTTGCCTCAAAATAGGGCAGTCTGGAATATGAAAAAATAGATTGAAAATTTCTGTCTTCTGGGTTGTTGCGCTGTGTAGTCTGGTCGATGTTAACCAATGTTTCTGAGGTCATACTGCCTCTGTCATCAGGGTGATGAATATGATATGGTAGGACAGTGCACTCAGAGATACACAAGCTTATAGTCTAGGAAGTACTACCACAACAGTGGAAAGAATCAGTTGTTGTCCTTATCCATAAAGCAGGGGGCAAAACTGAGTGCAGTAGCTTCTGAGGTATCTCTCTTTTGTCAGCATCATACAAAATTTTATGGAAAATTCTTCTGGCATGGTTAATACCATTTATTAATGAAACTATTAGGGATGATCTATGTAGATTCTGCCGTAATAGGTCAACTATCGATCAGATCTTGTCAGTTCACCAACTCTTTATGGACTTTAGAAAGGCATATGACTCAGTTAGAAGAGAGATATTGTATGGCATTTTGATTGAGATTGGAACAACAAAGAAACTTGTTAGGTTAATTAAGATCTGTATGGACAGGGTATTTAGTAGTCTTCTGTTGGATCCTTTCCCAGTGCACAATGGCCTCAAACAGGGGAATGCTTCATCACCAATGATTTTTAATTTTGCTCTAGAAAGGTTAGAGGGAATCAGGAAGGGCTCATATTGAATGGTGTGCTCCAAGTGCTTGTCTATGCTGATGATGTCAATTTGCTGGGGGATGGTGTGGGTACCAGAAACAAGAATGCAGAAACTCTCCTACAGGCTAGCAAGGAAACAGGCCTAGAAGTAAATGGACGTAATGTGGGATCAACATCAGTAACAGTGGCAGAACATAAGTAACACATAATTTAAAAATGTTTCAAAATTTAAGTAGCTGGGAACAACAATAACAAATAGAAATGAGGAGCATAATGAAATTAAGAGTAGAATACATTCAGGGAATGCTTGTTTTTATTCAATTCAAAAACTGTTATCATCTCATTTACTATCAAAAACACTGAAGATCAGGATATATAAAACAATAATTTTGTCTGTTGTCTTGTATGGTTGTGAAACCTTGCCTTGAAGGAAGAACATAGATTATGGGTTGTTGAAAAGAAAGTGCTCAGGAAGATATTTGGACCTAGGAAGGATGAAATAAGTGGTGAATATAGAATATTGCATAATGAGGAGCTGCATGAATTGTACAGGTCACCTAGCATAGTGAGGATAGTAAAATGTAGGAGGCTCTGTTGGGCTGGAAATATAGCATGGAAGGGGTGCATACAAAATTTGGGTAGTGAATCCTTCTGGAAAATGACCACTGGGTATACAAAGAAGGAGATGGGAGGATGACATCAAGATGGATCTTAAGGAGGTGGTCTGTGAGGATTGAAAATGGATGGTTGGCTCAGGATCGTGGCCAGTGGCAGGCTTTGGTGTTTTTGGTGTTGAATCTGCGAGTTCTGCTACCAAGGAGTTGGTTAGTTATATTTCATTGGTCCTTAATTTTGGTTGAAAGGGATACATAATTTTAATATTTATTTATTTTAGAACGCTGGCCTTATAATCCTGGGGTCTCGGGTTCGATTCCCGGCGGTGCCCGAATTTATAACTTGTGTTGGGCAAGGCCGTGGTCTAGGCAACACGGAGTTTTCCTCCGTGGCATCCCAACAATTACTCCATTCACACACAGAAGAAGGCAATGGCAAACCACTTCTGGATCATCTGCCAAGAACGTATATGAACAGGTCCCAGTCCGAGAAAAGGATGGAAGGATCCTGTTCATATGGACCTGTCGTCAGACAGAACACTAAATAAATAAATATATAAAATAAATTATTAACCACAGATAGATTTTGCACAATTAGATTATATAGGCTAATGACTTTATTTCCCAGTGCCCACAGATTGAGATTATCTCCATCAAACAGGCCCAACTGTGTAGGTTCACCTGATGTCAGGGGAAGAGCCATCTCTTGAAATGTAATATGAGGAAGCATAGTGGCAATTAAAAAATCCAAAAGTTTCTAATTGATAGATAATTCAACACCATCGTCAATAACACTTAGAGATGGAACTGTATCTAATATTGTGTTAACATTAACTCTTCATCATTGATGTACCATCATCTATCAAGTTGTCTGTTACTAACTGCAAAACTGTTTTAAGGTTAAGGGGAAAAAGAACATGAAGTCAGATGTCATACATTATGTTTTTTCAGTCAGATGTGATACATTCTCTTCAGTGTCTTTAAATCAGAAATATGCAAGTGAAGAAATGATTGTACTTGCTGAATTCTTCAGGATGCTGTTTGTTTAATTATTTATATCAAATTGTATGGTTAAATGTTCAAACCAGAAATGACTTCCAGTCACATAGATAATGTTCTAGTGCACAGCTGGCAACACTGGAAGATGAGTGAGATGGAATCAGGAACTACATAAGTGTTGCACAGTGTTTTTTGATAAGAGGGGTTGAGACCTTGGTCATGGTTTTTGGTGTTTAAGCTTGTATTCAATGAAACTGACTTGATTGTTATTTTTGGTAGTCCTTGTTAGCCTTTTTGTTATAGATAGAACAGTTCTTGTGTGGAAGAACAGATTGTGGGTTGATGCAACTTTAGTTTTAAAGATATTAATATTGGCTAATAAGCTGAATGAATTTGTTCTTTGCTAGCAGTGAAAAGGATATATCAGAAAATGCCGAAGGAAATGGAAAAATATTAGTGATGTGCGAACAGAGTTTTTTTAAGTCAAGTCAAGTTCGAACTGAACAATATTAAAATTCCTGAGTTTTGAGTCAAGTTTGAGTATAAGGCACCGGGGGGGGGGGGGGACTCTAATTACTCCCTTGCCACTTGTACCACGAGATTGGAAATGCTTCCCTTGCACATGGATCATTTACTTTCTGGATTTTACCATGCTTCAAAACATGATCACAAATACAATTCCTGCACCATCTAAATATGCACGTACAATGTTTTAATAAAACTTAATGTTACAACACGCAACAAGAACTGAAATCACACATAACCAGTTAATTTTCATATCACCATTGAAACAACACATTTTTCTCTTCTGCACCACAGGCCAAGTAGCATGGACAGCACAGTCAGAATTGCTTCCTATAGATACTTCGGGTGGGACGAACTCTCACAAAGATTAACAAATCTACAGAAGCAATGCTACTCTTGCTTCCATGCACAACATGCCACTGAGTTACAGTGGTTCCTGCAGAAGAAAAGGTCTCTCACTAGCAACTTGTGTGGCTGATATGGGTAAATAATGTTGAGAGAGAGGTTGAAGATAGTGATACTGCCAGGCATTATCTTTCCACCATACGCAAGGGTCATCATGCCTAGGAAGAACAGGTTCCATTAAGTATTTGCTTGTCTGATCCTTGACATGTTTATTTTCAGTAGGTGAAAATTAAAGTATACAAAACAATAATCTTGCCTGTTGTTTTGTATGGGTGCGAAACATGGTCTCTCACTCAGAGGGAGGAACACAGATTGCAGGTGTTTGAGAATCGGGTGTTGAGGAGGATATTTGGGCCTAAGAGGGAAGACGATGGGGCGTGGAGAAAACTGCACAATGACGAGCTTAAAAATCTGTACTGCTCCCCCAGTATTGTGAGGGTGATTAAGTCGAGAAGAGTGAGATGGGCGGGGCATGTAGCGCGCATGGATGGGACAAGAGGTGTGCACCGGGTACTGGTTGGGAAGCCTGAAGGGAAGAGACCGCTGGGGAGACCTAGACGTAGATGGGAGGATAATCCCAGGCGGGATCTATGGGAGATAGGAGTTGAAGGAAACTGGATTTTGTTGGCCAAGGACAGGGTCCGGTGGAGGGCTTTGGTTAATTCGGTGATGAACCTTCGGGTTCGGTAAGCCATCTAGTTAGTTAGTTAGGTGTGTTCATTTTAGCAAGTTTGTCAAAATAACTCCATAATTAGCAGGATGGTTCACAGCTTTCTTGTACTTCTTCCGCTTGTGTCTGTGGATCTGGAATATGTTTATTGATTTCTTTCTCAATTCAATTTATTGCCAACTTGACCTCATCGTCTTACAACAGAATGGCTTTGAATCTAGGATCCATAAACATGGTTTAATTTTCCTGTAATTGGAAAGCGAGCTTTGAAAGCTTTTAGGAACTGTTTTACAAATGCCAAGCCACTCCCTTTCCCTGTAGTTTTTATTAATTCTCCAGCAGTGTTTGTTTGCTGATTATTAGAGGAATTACCATGGAGAGGGTTGGATATGATTCTCCACTTAATTCTGTGCCTGCTTGGTCAATAGGTTGTAAAATGTTGGCCATTTCACCTGTCATCTGCCATTCAGCTTGATTAAAATATTACACCTTGTCATTCTCAGCTAACTCAGCAGAAACTGGTCCACTCTGTTCATCAAGTCTACTAAACATGTGATACTGTTAATCAAGTATAAGCATCCTGAATGAGACAGTGTTCAGGTTTTCCCATCTTTTGCATACAACCAAGTCTTTCTCGTGCTTGAACACTATGAAGATAATGTCCAGCAGTTGATCTTCCTTTTTGCCACAGTTCACTGAAGTCTGCATGATTTATAGCCATTTGCATTGTGTGGGCAAGACAAGGTATAGAAATCTATTCTGTTGCAGAGAGTGCTGATACCATGTTTCTGGCATTATTATCAACAATGTACATATATTGGTATTGTATACGCTTCTAAATTCCATTCCTCTAAAACAGTTTTCAATTCTTCATACACTGTAGATCATGTGTGCTGTCCAGGAAAGTATGACTTAGCTAGAATGTATCGTTTCATTACTAAATCACAAGACATATAGTGACAAGTGAGAGAAATATACAGTCCTCAGATCACGAGAAAAGCCCTGATAGGAATGTGATATACGCGCATGCGCAAGATTTCGCGGTGAGTGATGAGCTGCTACTAGCCAACCTAAAAGCATTCGTTCCACAACCACTGAAGGAACAACAGACAGAAGGCTTTCATAAGTTCTAATGAGTATAGCTTTAAAATTACCTTACAGTGCCAAGCGAGCTCGGAGTCAGAAAAGTCAGTTGTTTCTTCAGACTCAACATCTTCACAAGAAGTCTCTTCATCATCGCTATTGTCATATGGATTGGCAATAATTATTGAGTGGATCATGTCAGCAACAACCCTGTCCCATTCCCAGTATTGTTGTTCCAGTTGTTCCACATGTTGGCAGAATCCTTCCCAATCCTTTGCAGTCCCTTCTGTTGTTAAATCCAACAGCCGCTTCAAAGACAGATCCCCTGTCACGTTCCCGCGAACTTAGTTTTTTACCTTAGACCATGCTAGTTCTATTGGGCTAAGGTCACACATATATGGAGGCAACGTAACTACAATGTGACCATGGGCATTTAGTAACTGATCAATTTTGAAAATTTTTTCTTTTGGTTTCCTTGTCAGTATAAGGTCATACAGTTGGCCTTTTCTCATAGCTGGATCACAGAAAACTCCGTGCCGCAGTAACCATGAGATCATTTCAGATTTAACCTGATATTTTGATGGGGCTTTATCTGCTTGTACACTGTGGTATGGAGCGTTATCAAGTACTACCACTGAATTGGGGGGCAAATTCTGTAACATTTTCTCTCTAACCCACGTTTCAAAATTTGTACTGTTCATCTGACCATGGTAGTCGCCACTTGCCGAGTCAGCTTTATATATCAGTTTCACTCCTTGAAGGAAACCAGCATGCGATCCAGCGTGAACCATAATCAGTCTTTTTCCAGCATTTCCATCAGAACATACCCCTTTAACTTCCGTACTGTGCCAGCACTTTTTGAAAGTTAAATTGCTGTCTACCCAGCTTTCATCTAGGTAGAATATTTGTCTTCCTTCATTGCGAAGCGTCTTAATATTCACTAAATACCTCCCTCGCCAGTTTGCTATGTCCAGCCTTTCCATCACAATCTTGCGCTTACTTAGACATTTCTTAAACTTAAACCTTAAGTTATGTAAAATATTCCGTAGAGAATCAACACCCCATGAAAAATCAATTTTTTGTTTAATTATGGGCAGTAGCTTGGGGCAGCTTGGTACTTTCTTCTGTATTGCGTTATCACTGACATGTCAAAGGAGTCAATGGTGACATTCCTATCAGTAGGTCTAGGCCGGTGTTTCCCTGGCGTGTGTAAAGGTGACAGTGTGCCCTTCTCGTCACTATCTTTTGACTCTCGCCTTACCTCCTTAATTAAAGCCTTAGATACACCCGCGTATCTGGCTGCCCTGTCTGTTGCACAGGTCAAGCGAAATTTTAGCTCTTTCCGTCTTGCTTCCTCATCACACAGCTTCACTACGCTGGATATTACTTATACACGCTGATCTCAACTGCTTGATGTTTTCAGTCTGTATGTAGTAGCATAACTCTCTGGTGTGTCACACTTCCCACCAATAGCAGCCCTCTAGTCCAGCTGATAAGTAACATTCCCCCCGCACCGCACCAGAAACGACTTCCCCAAGTAGGGCTTTTCTTGTGATCTGTGGACAGTAGCTGTCTTCTGCTCGGGATGTCCAAAGCTGTCTTCTGCTCGGGATGTCCAAATATCTATAGTGAGTGATGGTGATGAAGCGGAATCTAAGTCTTCGATTAAATTTTGTTTTATTCGTGACTTGCAGATGAAATACGTTTCAAGTATAACACTTCTAGAGAATACAGGTCTTGAAGGTATGTGATATCTAGGTTGCAGTGTATGCAGCAGTTGAATACAGCTGATATCCAATACCATCACTTTTCCAATAGCCGAGGTAACTGCTTTCGCTCAAGGTTCTGAAGGACTCATTTTCACTGCTTTCACAAAGCCACTGTCAGCTGTTTTGAAGTTTGTTTATTTGTTCCCCTTTTACTGGTCATTTATTTTTGCTTCCAGTATTCTCTGTTCTGGTGTGGATGCTTGGCCAAATGTTAAATCAATGTTCTGCTTCCAGTAGGTATTTTGAGTGAAGGTTTGTAAATATTGCTTTGTGCATCACTGTTTGATGTTTTGGTAAAAGAATTCCACACAAGTGCACCTTTTGAGTTTTTTCAGTCATTGAATATTTAGATATTTTTGATTTTATTAATTAATGGGGTAACAATATTACTGAAATATAGTTATTCACAGACTATGAAGCTTGTGATACTGCAAAGAAACTAATTGCTGGTTATAGACGTAACAGTTCTCAACTTCCTTAACAATAACAATGGCACATACATTTCACATAACATTTAAGGGGGGATAATTTACATGAACCATGCAACAGTAAAATATATATAACTTCTTTCACTAATAATTGGAATTCAAACTGCCTCACTTTTAGTGCTCATTAGCAGTGATAAATTGTTCTGTTTTAGTTTCAAGGCATGTTTGGATTCTTATTTGCACAAAGTGGTTCATTGTTTTGATTATGTACATTTTTGTTTGCTTAAAGAGTTTGATTTTAGAGATGATAAACAGTAAACATGAGATTGGCTGAAATTGGCTTCTGTCGGTAGTGTGCACTGCACGTTATGATATACTGAAGACATAACAGTTCTGCCTTGTTGGTGGTCCTGTCTCTGGTGAGCACATATGTCCAACCGAAATACGTTTGGAGTGAGAGATCGAACATGGAGAGAGAACACTGTGAGAATGGCAAATGGGTGGAGTTGACTCAGGATCGTGGCCGGTGGAGGACTTTGTTGTTGTCAGTGTTGAACCTGTGGGTTCTGCTACCAGGGAGTTGGTTAGTTAGGTAGTGAGAGATTGATGCTCACTATGCACTATCGATAACACTACAAGCTGAAAGTCGATGATTACTTTATCGATTGCGAAGAAAATGCATCCTAGGCGTGATATTAGAAATTACAGAATAAGCATAGGAACCCGATTTTTTTGAACATATTTATTAGTTTGAGCTGAGTTTTTTAACTTGACCCAAAATTTTGAATATTTCGCACATCACTAAGAAATATGCATGTGGTAGGGATTTGAGGGAATTTTAGGTAAGAATAAAATCAAATTGTCCAGCTTTTAATATTTATTTACATTATGTGAAATATATGTTCCTCTACTGTAGTGTGATAATATGGCAGGACATTTAAAGAAACTGCTTTATTCCACAGATATATTAATTAACCAATAAGTTTTGTCTTTTATCATAATGTGACCATACTATACAAGTTATGGAGAACTTTACTAAATCCACAAATCAGGGAGTGTCTCAGAATGATGATGACCACAGTGAACCCCTTGATTTAAGAGATGAATAGAGGGAAGAGGTGTCCAGTAATGCTGATTGTATGTTAAATTGCACAGTTTTTATGATGCCATTAATGCATCATTTTTAGACCATAATTTCCATTATGAACACCATTCAAAGATTAGTAATGTGAACTGGACACCTGCAATGACACAAGATTAATGAAAATACTAGATAATTAGGTAATTAAGTTAAAAAATCCAAATTAACCACATTTTTTATGCTTGGTATAAAATTTTATGTTGCTGTGATGTACAGCAGAGATTAAGAATACATATGTAAATATTTTCTAATGAAAATGACAGAATTCAGGTTATACTCTCACAATTGTAAGGTTTGTAGGCCTTTTGTGTCAGTCAGTTTATCTTATAATCTTCCAAAACCATTTTCCAGTACATTCTTTTATAAGCAAGAATAATAGGCTGGATGAGTAATGTAGCAGCATCAAACACTTTATTCTTCCATCTCTGCTAAAGCTTTTCTATGGTGCTTGGATGTGCTAGAGCATTGTTTGGGATAAGAATAGCTGTAACATTCTCTATCTTAGGGACTTCAGTATGATACTTGGGGCCTTCAGGAATGAAATGATTAAAAATCTAGTCACTAAAAATCTGAGCATTAAACTCTGCTTTCTGAGAGGTATAATAAATCACTGTGAGCTCTCACATGATTATATTTTATATGTGTGGTCAACAAGATTTTCCAACCACCACAGGCTGCATGTAACTGTCTATACCGTAAAGTACTGTACTTCAAGTATTCTTTTAGACATTTAATTTCTGTATATTATATTTATAATTATACAGTAAATAACAGACTTTGTTAAAATCAAAAAGTCTTCAAATGCCTCGTGTCCAGAAAAAAAATTGGCAAAAACCAGACAGTGTCTGTTAAATCCAAAATCTGTTTCATCAAGATCTTTTAAATTGAGGGCTTACTGTATTATGACTTGTTATATTTAATGAACCAAAACAGTTGCAGCAATGAAATAACTGGAGAGATCTTTATGAAATTAAACATCTGATGTTTGGAAGATTCTTCTTCCATTAGAAAATGTAGGGGCAGTTTCTGAAAACTTGGAGTTTAACTCATGGTTATAGAAAACATAATTGAATCATGTTGCTGGGGTAACATAGAACCTTATATAATGGATAATTTTCTGTCTGTGCTACATATGTACATGTTTGACTTTCACAAATATTTTCTCATTAAATGTAGACACTAGGCTGATGGTAAAGTTTCTGATTGTAACGTGTTTTAACTGTACTTGCTACTAATAGTTATAATTTTCCTTGATCTTAACTCTATGAAAGATCAAAAATGATTTGTTCAAGCCCGGTCTTATTGCCGTAGTCTTGAGACAGTTCTAGCAAAGTAAAGTATGATGTGCTAGGAACTTTCATACTGTTATGTACACTCCAGTATCACGCACTGTCCTATAAATGAAATGTTTAAGTGTATGTGGTAATCATTTTGCATGTTCCACATAATTATTTGTGATGTTTATCATCATCTTGTTTTTTCTCATCACCAGACATTCAGAATATCCTGGTGTGTACATGTTTAATTCAACCATAGGATGACGCATGAAATGTTTACCCATTTTGGTTGTTTCTTGCAGAGGGTCCATAGTTTCAATTTTAGCACTGCTTTCTCCCAATTTTAACATGGGTCAGGCCCTAGTTGATTTCTGTATGTTAGGAAAAGTTTGCAGTTAGATGGGCAGGGCATATGGCATGCATGGTTGGGGCGAGAGTTGTGTACTGGGTATTGGTTGGGAAGCCTGAGAGGAAGAGACCGCTGGGGAGACCTAGACATAGATGGGAGGATAATGTCAGGCGGGATCTATGGGAGATAGGAGTTAAAGGAGACTGGATTTTGTAGGCCCAGGACAGGGTCCAGTGGAGGGCATTGGTGAGTTCGGTGATGAACCTTCAGTTCTGTAAGCCATCTAGTTAGTTAGTTAGGAAAAGTTTGCTTGTCCAGTATTAAATTCCATATCAAACATAAAGGTACATTAAAGTTTCTGAACAGGTTTTCAGCATATGGTATTTTATCAGGCTGCTAGGTCTCCTGGATCTCAGATTCTTTGTAGTAGCGTTGTATCCACAGTGAAGGGTAAAATGGAACTCACAGCCCTAATGCAGCTCTGCCATAAAATATCAGTTGGTTTGATTCAGAAAGCCATCCCACATGTTCTTCATCATGAGGCATGAGGAGGTTGTAAGGCAGAATGAAGTTCATGCTGAAGATGGTCTGCACTTAACATAACCACAACAGGATGCCTAAGTATGAAATTGTTATTTTCTGTTGTAACTTTTTTATAATAAATTTAGATGGGTAAACATTTTTTGTGCACCACCCTGAATGGCTAATTCATGTTGTGATAGTATAATACATATAAGTACTAATTATTCTTCTGTGATTTGTATTATCTGATGAATTCAATTCTTTTGTAGTGTAATCTAAATATTATAGGATATATCTTGTCATTGCTTTTACTGGTGAATTTGTATCCCTGAAATAGGATATAAGGTTTGCTATGCCACCTTCCACCTCCTATTTTATCCCCTTATCAGCAAGAGTTGAGTTTTCCTCCAGGGTCACGGCTGTCAATTGGAAGGAGATAGAACATCAAGATATCTGCAAGTTCATTTATTGACACACTTACAATTTACCCTTGCATTCTTTGGTGTGGTATTGCTTCCTTGTTAATTTGTTACTTTTTGCATGCATTCATGTGTGTGGTATGCCTTTGTATGATACAAATGAAAACAGCCTGTTTCCAGAAATAAAATGTTTCCCGTAGCTGTTGGATTTAAAAGATACTTATGTACAGAATAATAAAACATTTTTCAAGGTAGTAAAGGGGTAATGAAAGGAAAGGATAAATTGATATTGTGATGCCAGGATATTTTTAAATGTACCAAGCACATAAATAATCTTTGACATTCGAACCAACATATTTTCTGTAAATGCAATATGAAGGAGAACTTGTGAAGAAAGAAATAATGCGAAAATATGGTAAATGGTACCAGACATTTACCATTATTATATTTTGTTATTTCTTTGTGACACTTTGTCTGATGTAAATGATTTGTTCTCTTTATTACATTATGTTCTCATTTAATCGATATCTTAACTATATGTTTATAAAACAGTTTGTATATTTGAATTGTATTATATAATACACAATAATCACCCTTGAAGTAATTACCCATTTCAGTTTTGCTTTGTTTGATATAATTTGTCAAGAATTTGTAGTCCAATGTGGCTTGAGCCTCGAAGCATTTGTGTCAGTTGTTTTAATTGCTTTATCACGGTCAAAGAATCAAAACCAAGGACATCTAAAGGTCTGAAGACATGAGCAATGAAGTGGCTCTCTGAGGATCCAGATTTCTGCCACACCGAATCATAAGCTCTTTCTTTGTGAGCTTTCAAGTTCTCATGATGGCAAGTATCAAAATAGTTTTTCTTCTGGGATGTTGCACCATGTAGTCTGATAGAAGTTTACTGACATTTTGGACTTCTTGCTGCTCTGATGATTGAGGCAACAAGGACCTCTGAAACAGTAAACTTCTACCAGACTACTTGGCACAACAACCCCGAATAAAGCGATTTACTTTGCTTATCATAACTTTCTAATATTGTAAATTAAAGTGATTAACCTTAGTAGAAATGGTTAGTAAGTATTTACAGTTTGGTTTTTCAAAATTCTTGCACATTAATGTATTTGTAAGGATATGAATTGGAGAAATATTTAAAAACATTTGTGTTAAGTAACAAAAAGTATGTGCATTTGTTGTAGTACATGCATGTTACCTGGCTGTGCATTTCATGTTTTGACAGTATTTAAAGTGCATGCATATTTTTTATGAAGACATACCTTTTAGTTACAAAATATATACCACTTATGTTTTGAGAATTCACTGAGTGAAAGATTGTTATATTATTGCTTGGCTGGTTCATTTTGATTGCTTTTGCATTATACATAAGTAAACTGAAGAAAATACTGAACTGCTTTGTATGAAGAATCTTTCTGCATGGTACCTTGAGGTTGTATAGTTATTCACATTTCTTATGGAAAGATGCTAATAAAACTTGTTGATCATTAATAGAGATGAACCTACTGGAGGGACTTCTCATTTCATTTATGTATGGCTTATTTAACTATGCTGTCAGTAGCTTATTGTTGAATGATGGGATGATCAATGAATAATGAATTCAAAAGGACTTGGAAGGCAGCAGTTATTGCCTAATTCAAGGTACTATTCCAGCATTTGCCTGGGGGAACAGGAAAACCACAAAAAGCCTCAGTCAGGATAGCCAGACTCAGCTGAGATATTAACTGGAAACCTCCTGCCTACTAAGTAGGAATGCTATATAAACACTTGTCCATGACATGCAGTGGAGTAACAGCTTACACCTTTTAACTTTAATTATCGCTTACAAACTTATTAATATCAAACTGTATAAAGTTGAATTAATTCTTTGTGTGTATTCAGTATACATTTCTTTTATAGTATGACTGTTGGAGTATGTGATAGATGGGATGTTATATGTTTATGACATATTAGCTACTGCTTCCATGTACAATACAAAAATGGGGGTGCATGTGTCAAATGGTTACTTTTTTTACACATGGAAGGATTTGGAGCATAAATAAAACACCCTATTCTCTGGAGTATAAGGCACTTTTCTTGAAAAATGCATTTTCAGTCCAGAAAATACAGTCAATAGACGAAGCTTTTACAGCAGGTTATTTTTTAAGACAGCACATGTGAAAATGTATTTTTATTGGTCTGCTTGTAATGTGAATTATAGCAGTTTCTATTTTCTATATTGGCTTGATCATTCATTCAGTTTTTGGTAGTCTGTCCAAGAAAGTGCCAGGATAATACTTTGATGTAGACCACACCTGCTTTATCTCATATTCAATGTCATCTTATTTATTCTCTTTCTGGTCTGTGTGAAATGAATAACATTAAAAATTAATCTCGGGTAAATATGTTGTAAAACAGAAGTTGTAGCACCATGGAAGTTTACTAGATTACACAGCATCACAAGTCAGAAGACAGCGAACTTCATTCTTGCTGCCATGACAACCTGAAATCCCACACAGTTATAAAGCTACCAGCTGGATAGAACTGGCTCAGAATAAGTTCTGCTGGCAGGCTTTTTTGATGATTGTTATGACCTACTCATGGAATCTGATTGGTTTGCTATTATAGGTCAGCTGGAACAGAAGAGACTGTACAGTAAATGTTGATATTAATAAACAATGATTTCCCCACCTCTTTTCTTTATCAAGATATAAGCCAGTTAAGGTATAGCTGTCATTAGATTGATTTATGTTAGGTGTACTGAACATGTAACATGCATTTGAGTAGGTTATAATTTTACAAAATTTGGTTGGAGAAGCAAATTGAAAGAAGATAAAAAAGGAACAGAGGCTCTGATACAAGGATAGTATAAATGAGTAGATTAGGAATGTAAATTGTGATGATTTAAAATTGTTATAACTGACTCAGGAGAGAATCCATTGATGTAGATGGTAATGATTTGAAGTGGTTACAATTGTCTCTGGCTAGAATTCAAAGATATGGATTGTGATGATTTGAAGCTGTTACAGCTGACTCAAAAGAGTATCCAGTGATTTAGATTGTGATGACTCAGGCTGCAGTGATTGGTTATAAGAATGATGAAGCTCTTTGGTTCCATAACTGTTCACATAAATATCATTTGCTTAATGAATAATATGTTTTGTTGGGTAGATTATATGGAGTATAGTTAGCTGGTGATATGTCTCCACTTTGGGGAGATCATATTCTTTAATTTATAGCATTGGTTATATTTTATTGTGGTTTTGATAATACCTCCATGTACAGAATGATTCACAATTTAATGTTGTAACTTCAGGAGCATATTCTTGATATTATTCCCAGTTAGAAATGACGTAGGTGAAATGTAAAATGTCATAGGCTCGATATTATTCCCAGTTAGAAGTGATGTAGGTGAAATGTAAAATGTCATAGGCTTGTTTCTCAACAGTTATGGATTTGTCATCACCTAAAAGTTAAAATATAAGAATTTGTGAACAAGTACTCATATGACATTAATATTGCTGAATTTGCAATGAATGTTCAAAATAACTACCTTCAGCCTCAATATACATATTTTAGAAGATTAAGGTTTACCTTTGGAAACATGATTGCATTTGTACTTGCAATATGAGAGAAAGTGCATTTGAATCATGCAGTAAAAATATGTAGTGATCATTGCTTCCATGGTCTATGGATTGGTCATGGTCCACAACATTGGCCACCATATCTCCAGACCACATTCCACCTAGATTTTTATTTTTGGGGGCACATAAAATATTGGGTATACCAGCAGAATGTGGAAACACAAGATGTATTGCTTTGTTGCGTTTTGGATGCTGCAGCCTTTGTAAAGGACAAGCCTAATGAAGTGATCTGACCTATGTGGTCGATACACAGACTTGGCGGGATGTGTAATGAGGGTGAGTGCCGTAATTTTGAACATTTGTTGCAAATTCAGCATCTCTTCCCAAAATATTAGTTCAAATGTTAATTAGAAGTTTATTATGTTAGTTGTGATAATTATTGATTAACATATAAATGTTATGAAGTGTATTCAGTCATAATTACACAAAATTTTGCCCCCACACTGGACCTCAACCTATTTCATCTGGTCCTGTAACCACCATGGCTATTCAGTAAGTTTTAAGTAAAAGATAAAAATTTTCCATAAGAGCTTCACATTGTTACAAAAAACTGCCTGTGATTTTTAGCTGAAATGAAATTGCTGCAGTATGTTTTTAATTGTGCACATGTTGAAGGAATTTATTCTGTTGTTATAAATAAACCCAAAGAATATAAATTAATTTAATACATTATGTTTAAATTAATATTGGCATTACTGGTATTCCAGTTTTTGATCAATGTTGTTACTATCCATTTCCTATCGCACCCATCAGATGTGACATTAAGAATGCATTTGGAAATTTTATTTACCTTACAGAGTACACATTTCCAATCTTTGTTTAGTGTGAGAAGTGTGCAGCAGTTTGCTTTATTACTGCATGATTCTTTCCCATCCTGTGTTAGTAACAAGAAACATTTGGAATTTATACTGTTTATAGCTACCATTAAGTCTTTCTGGAAAATTTATAAACATTGTATTCTGTGTACTAGCAGACAGTTTATTTTAATGTCCTTAGGTGTAATAGGAGGGAGAAGATTATATAATTAGGATCTTTGTAATTTGTTTTCTTCATCAAATATATTAAGATGATGAAATGAAGGAGGGTAGGATGGTGGAACATGGAGCACACATGGGAGCAGCAGGAAGTGCATAGAAACTTCTATAGTTCCTGAAAAGAAATGACCACTTTGGAAATCTAGGCATATGTGGGATGATAATATTCAACTGAATCTTGAAGAAACTTGGTATGGACTGGATTCAACTGGCTGAAGATAGAGTTCAGTAATGTTTTTTGTGAATATAGCAATGAAGTTTAGGGTCTAAAATTTGGAAAATTTCTCCATAAACTGTGCATCTGTCCTTTTTCTCAATGAGGATTATGCTCCATGGAGCTAGTTAAGGTTTATTATGTTACAGTATGTTTGGCATGACAGCATCCATTCTAATTAATTACTTTGACTGCACTGAGTGAAGTTGGTGCTTCATATTGCATACAGTCCATTGTTTACTTCAAGTGCTGGTATAGAAATTTGAACAGCATCAAGGTCATCACTCTGATCATGGAGCAGGCCCCTTTGCAATTTCAGTAAACGTTTACCAGACTTTTAATGGTGTTGAAACCCAGAAGACAGAAATCTTCATATTCATCGCCCTGATGATGTAGGCAGTATGACCTCTGAAACGTTGGTTAACATCGACCAGACTACACAGCGCAACAACCCAGAAGACAGAAATCTTCATATTCATCGCCCTGATGATGTAGGCAGTATGACCTCTGAAACGTTGGTTAACATCGACCAGACTACACAGCGCAACAACCCAGAAGACAGATATCTTCGTACTTGCCACTGTGAAAACCTCAAATCCTATTGAATATATTAAAATTACTATATTTAGTTCCTTAGAACACCAATTCTAGTTACTGTCACTTCTGAAGATGCACCTCTTTTGTGATGTCATTGTTAAACGTGTAAGCTTAATAATCTGTGTTGATTATCTGGACCTGAAAACAAATTTGATTCAAACATAATTTCAGGCTTTTGAAAATTGGCAGTTATTTTATGTTCTGGAATTGAAATGATGCGTGGCTGTGATATATTTGGAAGTTGGGATTATTTTAAAAATGTAACCAGCTACTTATTTGATTACCATCAGTATTATCAAAAACACTTTGCATGATATTAATGGAATTTACTGATATTTGTTCTTGGAAGCATGAAGGTAATTAAGTTCCTGTTCTTTTCTGCTGCATACTGTTAGATACAATGGGATATTTAGATGAATGGATGACTAGACCAGAATGAGCCTTTTTATTTTCAGTCTTTGTATTTATTCTATCTTGTGAGGCAGAACTAACCAGTCAAGGAAGATGATACTTTGCTGTACTAATGTCATGTCACCAGTCATACATCAACATTTTAAATTATTGAAAGAATTTGAATGTTAGTCTGACCATACTCACACATTTCCATAGCATTAGTCAAATTGCCTTCAGCAGTAAAATCAGTCATGTATAATAAAATATGCCCTGTATAAGAAATACAATTATAGATACCAGAAAATTGTGTGCAAGGTGTTGTTTGTTACAGAAGCCAATATCTAATATGTTGAAACATTGTTTTGATAAACATTTAGGGCTACAGTTAAATTCAGATTTCATAATTAGCTTTTGATGGTAATTGGAAATTTGTCTTTGTTTCTAAATTATGCTTGTTTGCATAACCATGACTAGTGTAGGTTTAATTTAATACTGATGGGACAAAAGTCTATATAGGGAGGTAATTGTTCTTTAGGTTTTAAAGTATAAACTGTTCTTTCAATATTTGGCCAAAGCACCTAATATTAAAATTAAATGTTTATGGTTAGAATTTTCTAAATATGCTGATGTATGCAGTTTAATGGAAGATGAAACTGATGGTGAGAAATGTAATGCAAATTAAGAACATTCTTTAGTGTGTATCATATTTGAGGTGAAGATGGAGGCAGTATGTTCCACCAAAACATCAGTAACCACTTACAAGACTACACATTGTCATAGCTGATAAGAATATACTTTCCCAGCATATGCCCCTATGATTGTGATGTAATCCTGTCTAATTGATTTTGTAGGTTCCTTTTACAACAAATTATCTGTAATTAGAACTCATAAGCATGTTGCTTGTCATACAGATACTGAAATTCTCATTTGACAAAGAATTATACATATTTAAATTAAGCCTTGCTGTTCCTCTGTGTGAGGTGAAACATAGACTAATGTAATTGCTTTGAATTTTTGTTCATAAATATTAATTGAAAAGGCAAGGCAGAATATGTCAAGCAAATTTTTAAAAAAATTCTTATCATTTACTTCTTTTTTAATTAAGCATGTCTTATATTCCACTTGATGCAGCACTAGGAGTATACAATCATTTGCTGACCCTTAATTACTGCATTATGCAAAATATATTTTTTATAACAAAATAACTGTGGTGAAAGATTCAGTTGATCTGAAATGATAATCTGCATAAAATAAGTTCTCTTTAGATTACCTAACAAAAAAACAACACAATTGTGTCCATATAATTTGGGTATCATCTGATAGCAAGTTGGCCTGCTTTGTATGTGCATTTGTAGTTGTTGGGAGATTTCCTTTCTCACTGTTTTGTATTAATTTCTTTTGCTTAATTCCAACATTTCACAATAGTAGTGTTTTGCCATTTTGAAATGCAGTCTGTTTTTGCAAGACTCAGAATGTTTGTGTATTGTGTTTGTAGTAAAAGTAACTGTATTAATAGCATTACCTTTCCTTCTGATTCCACTCTCACATTTTAGCCCTGGCTTGATTCTGTACCAATATTCAAATCTGCAACGTCATCTGCTGGAAATCTGAGTTTGTTATCCTACCATGGATTGTGCAACAAGACTGGAAATCCTTCACCTTCATTGACATACCAAGTTGGTGATGAAGATTATGACAACAATAACAACAGCTATGAAGCTGTTCAGCATCCAGAAGGAAGGCAGGAAACTGAGCCAAAAGAAAATTCTGGCCTTAGAGATCTATCAGGAATGAACATGGATGGACACCGGCTACAAAAGAAACGCAAACGATGTGGTAAATGCAAAGGCTGCACAACTGTGGGTAATTGTGGACAGTGTCCACCCTGTAACAGCACACGGACACACCAAGTGTGTCGACAGCGCAGGTGTAGCAACCTCCTGATGGAAACAGCATTGGTTGTTCCCAGTCCTGCCATCAAGAGAAGCCACATTAATGTACAGGTTGGTTTGGTTTAGGCAGGTTTGCATTGCACTGAGCTCTGTCAAGTCTGAGAAGGACTCTGAGCCTTTATATTACAGTTCAATACTTTGCAGGACTTAAGAGCGTTTTTGGTGTAAAATTTGACTTTCTCAGGCTGACTCTTGCAATGCAAGTCTGGCTTGAATCTTTGACAGCTGTGAATTCCCACACTATGCATTTCCCTATCTCATAAGCATCTTTTGTCCCTTTATAGCCAAAAAGAAGATCCAGAATATGTTTACTTTAATTATACAGTGTTTAAGAATTTTCATGGATTGCTATGTAACTTACTTGCAAATAACTTTGCAGTTTGTATTGTTAAGTATACTTAACGAATTACAAAGTATGTATTAGAATCTATAACAATTTATTGTTACACATTCTGCCTGCAGTTTCTTAAGTAGAAATATCTAACCGTACTTATTTCTGTTTTAGTAGTGTTCAGTTATTAAGTAATGAAACTTGTATTGTTGAGGTTTTGGATGTCTTGAGTAAAGTAATTAATCTGGGGAATCTAATGCTTAATACTCTGTAATGAAACTGGAGCTGTTTGAATGTTCCATGCTACAGAGAAAGAAATTACAGGATGAAACTTCTAAATTTATATTTGTATTTGTCACAGTGCAGTTTATTTAGTAGGTGACTATATATATATTATTTGAACTTAATTTATGGTGTCTTCAGGATTGTATGAATTATTTCCCACCTTATGTATTGAGTTACATGTTTATGTGGTTTCCACACATCATCTTTTCCCCCTTCAAACCAGATATCAAGATGTAATTTCTTTAAAATAAACTTGTGTCTTAGAACGTGGGAATAAAGAAAGTATTTTCTGGTATTATTGGTCAAAGGAAACCATTTCTAGAGTTTTTAAATGACTTGATAAGGTTATGACATTGTTTTTCATTTTCTTCAAGTTTTTCTTTGTTAGGCAACCATGAAAAATGTCTTATGTAAATACAGTAAATTCTAACTTCTGTGATCCTGTGTCAGAAAATGCTATTTTTGTAGTTTATTTTGGAACATTTAACAGGTAAAATTAACGTTATTGCATGAAGTGTATTACCATATGTTCCAAAAGTTGCTATTATGTTTTGAAAGCATAACCCCAGAGGTTTGCACCATTGATTTAATGGTGCTTGTGAACACAGTAACAAACCTTTGGCTTCCATAAAAGAGGGAATTTCTTGACCAACTGAGTAACTATCACTATCTCAAGGAGGACTCTGCTGAATGAAGTTAGATTAGTAAGGTATACAAGAGGAAACTGTCAAAGCATTTATTACCACAGATGTGATGCTGCTTGCACACGTTCAGACTTTGTAACATCATTTTTTTATGTGATCATCACTCCTTTAGAGGCACTTGTCCCAGTGAGAAACCAGTGCTATGAATCCCTTCATAGAGATATGCTGGTGAAAAACCTGTCATCAGCTTGTCACTGCCACATTATGATCATCATTCAAAAATTTCTGTTCCATTAGTGCTCTTTAAGGACCTGCATAACACAACAAAAAACAACATTTCTCCATAACTTAGATGAACTGGTTAATGCTGTTTCAGGAAATAATCCCTGTTTACACTGAGACACACGTGAAACCCATAAATACAAAATGCAGAGTTACTGATAGTTACTGATTTTTAAAGTGGGGTTGGGGGGAGTACTTGGCCAAGGGATGTGGGGAGAGTTATAGACCAGCAAGTAAACATGAAATACAGCATGTGAAATGAGGGTAGGAAAGAATAAAAATACGGAAATTAAATAAGAGGATAGAAGAACATGAAACTGAAGAAATTAATACTTGGGAATTATGGATGTATTCCTGACATGCAAAGAAGGTAAGAAACAGCACTTGTGAGGACTGACAGGTGACCAACAGTGAAGACTGCAGAAAAGAAATGGAAGAAATATAAAATAAAGGGAGGTAAGGAATAAATGGAAAGAAGAAAAATATAGGATAAATAAAGACATATCTTTGTACTTGTTGGTTTGAGAACCTGACATATCACAGGGCTTTTCATATTTGTAGTTAAAATCTCAGCCTCAGGTGAAATTTAATGCAAATGCTGAATTTGCTGTTTTAATACAAAGGATACTGTTCTGTCACTGGCCAGATTGAGAAACTCATACAGCAGTATGAAATAATCACATCTGATTAATGTCTACTGTAACTAGAGTTCATTGTTGAATATTAATGGACTGTGACATATATTCTTGCTTTTATGTACAGGTGTTCCCACTTTTATTTATTAGGAGGAAAGTGGTACCCACCTTTGTTGGACCTGCCATAATTAATGGAATATGTTCAGTGTGTCAATGCAATGTTGTAGATGGAGGGTGATCCTGAATAAAATATTTTCTTAAGATGAAAATGTTTAACTTACTAGCTTGTTTGGTGTGAAGTAATTTGTTCTATAAAGAATGAAGTTGTGCCATGGCTAGGGCGAAACAGATATTGCAAACATTTTTAACCCAAATTAATTCAGGACAATAATTTTGTTCCATCCTGTTATTACTGATGAGTGTTAATTTGGATCATGAAGAAAATACATATAACAAACTCTAGATGTCAGCAAATGATAGACTGCTGTACTTTAATAAGCCACATGCATAAGCTGCGAATAGGGAAAACTGGCGAACTCTTTTTGGGCAGAATAGGGGGACTTCTATGCATCTGTAGCATGTGTCATAAGTTCTTGTGCTAACTGCAGTGTCATTTGTATTCTGTGATTGTGAAAAGTTAATTTTTAACAATGAAAAGTGATCAAGATTATTGGATAATCATTATTACAGTTATATAAACAACTTTTAGTATAGTATGACTAGATGTTTTTCATAAAAATACATATCAATAATTTATTATTTTTGGATATGTTCCAAATGTGAAATAAAGAATAATTTTTTGGTGTTATACTTGCGGAAGAAAATTTAATCAGGGAATCCTACTTTAAGACATTTGTGCTATAATTTGTTAAAATTTTTTGTAAACAAGAATTAACTTCCACGACAACATTGGTGCTCTGTTCCCTACTTGACAATTTCTATTGAGAGAAATTGTAAAAGTAGGTAACATAGCCCAGTATAGTAAGACAAGAATGTAAAGCTGGAGACCCAGTTACAGTCCTTAGTCAAGATGATTATCATATTTCACTCAGAACAAACTGTCACATTCTATAGGATAACTTTGAAATAACATACCATACTTTTCTTAGACAACTGGAAAGTTTTGATATAAATTTTCTGCCTCAGTGTTCTGAAAGTGTGTTTTAATTTTTGTCTGTTATTTTGCAGCAGAAACTTCAACAAGTGGCATCAAATGGACCAAATGGTGGAAAGCCTCCAATAGGACCTCCACCAAGCTATAGTGGAACAGTGATGGCACAGACACAAAGAAACATGGGAGCAGCTATTGGCAGAGTAGCAGCCCAATATGCAGGTTTGCTGCCCATGGCCAGGCCTACTAATATGCAGGTGAGTGGATAAAATACATTTACTGGAATAAGGGCACAATGGATAGAGTGGGAAATAAGACTCTCGTCACCAAGAGGCAAGTCATAGGGAGAAAATAATGTTATAGGAACACTGTATTGGACATTGTCTATTGTCTGAGTACATTTGATGTACAGTGTTTCGGGAGTTGGATCTTCAGTTTATTGCATTGGAAGCATGTTGTCTTTAAGCATAAACCTACAAGTTCTGTTACTGCATTCACACTGAGGGGTGATCATTCTACTTTGGAAAAGGAAGAAGCAACATTAAGAGTGTCATTAATATGAAGCAAGAAATGAATATCTGCCACAACTCATAAGTGAAATTCTCAGCCAAACCTAGAAATGTAACCCTGCCAGTCAAATGGTGCTATATAAGTAGGTGTTATCAGAAAAAATTGCAGAATTGGAGGGGGAAATGTTCAGAATATATAAATCATTCAGATTTCAGAGTACTCATCAGACCAAATCCATGAATGAAATCCAGGAAAAGACTATATACAGCATCCCACGCAAATGTGGGAAAAATATTTAGGGGAGAGAGAAAGTTCATCGAGCATCAGAATTACCAAAACCAAATGCAACACAGGATCACAAGTTTGAGAGAAATTTCCAAGTCCAAAATAGCAGAACATCCATAGGATGATGACTATAGAATGTGATGGGAGAAGGCAGAAATCATCCACAAGAAGAAAAGTGATTCATAAGGAAACTGAAATAGTATTAAGATTTGAGGTTCTCATGACAGTGAGTCTGAAGATAGTTGTCTTCTGGATTGTTGTGCTATGTGGTCTGGTAGAAGTTTGCTGAAGTTTGAGAGGTCTCTGCTGCCTCGATCATCAAGGTGATGCGACTACTCATCGCACTGATGATGGAGGCAGTAAGGACTTCTGAAATGTCAGTAAACTTCTATCAAACTACAGAGTGCAACAACCCAGAAGACAGCCATCTTGAAATAGTATTCATCAGAACAACAGAACGTCATTAGTCAACCAAGCGTAGATGTTCACTGCATATGGCTCCTTGTGCTATGGAATAGGAAAAATGGATCTAACATAACATAAATATAGTTATGACTACAATCATTTCTGGGCCACCCTGGTGGTTTTAGTGGTAAGCGGTCTAGCCTAGCGTTCGGAAGGTCTAGGTTTGATCATGACCATCATTATCATCGTCCATAAATAAACAACAACAACAACAATGATGGCAGCCAGTTGGCAGAAGACAGGACTTGAGTCAAGTACCGAAATGTTATGTTTATCAAATATGTCCAGTATAGTGTTCCTGTAATGAGTCAGGCATTGTCACAAATGTTTAGAGAATCATGAGAAAATAATGAACATGTTGTATCCCTGTATGCTGTATAGTTTCTGCTGTAAATGTTTTCTTGATATATACCAACAAACTTAAAATTACATTGGTTGTGAAATTATACCGTGGCAAGTGAATTTTGCCTTTGTCAGACCATCATCATCATCCTTACATACATCACATTTGAGTAAATCTACACAAAATCATTTTGTAATTATAAAACTATGATATGTGATGCCTTAGAAATCCTCCTGTATGTCTGAAATAATTGTAGTTTTAAATTAAAATGCATTCTGTTTCACATTTTAACAGTTTAAAAAAAATTAATACTGATAGTAATCTAAATGACAACCATTTGAAGAATTTGAATTAACATTTTATGACATCAATGTTACCAGGTTGTTTAAAACTGTTGGAATATATAAATAAGACTTATTTTAATTTGAAAGTATAATTATTTTAGATATATGTGGAGCTTTACAAAGACTGTATGTCATAATTTTATAATTACAGGATAATTATTATAGATTTAACCTTTTAAAGCCTAGTGGTAAATATGTGCACCACATTCTTTAATAATCAGTAATTGTATTTTGTATTCTTTGGTGTAATCAGGAATTATTTTCTGAAACAGCATTAACCAGGTGATCTTAGGTAAGAAGTGTTGTATTTTCTTTGAGGTACAAATTTAATTCTTAAATATCATTCAGATAAGTTTCAGCTTCAGAGAGTTAACCATATGTGACACATTATAAGAAGGTGGCACTGATGAAGGCCTCATTAAAGCCAATACATATTTCTCATGGTATATTTTGACAGCCAGCATATAGTAAAATCTACCCACACATGCAAAAACTGTAGATGATACTGTGGACTCAATGGACATCATGTTTTTACATTTCAGTCTGAAAACTTTGTCTTTGTAAAACATTGTTAATAAATAATGTGTTCATTGTCATTATTTAGTAACAGTGGTTAGGTTTCTGGCAGTGGCAATATTGGATTAAACAAAAACATTCTCACTAATTTTGAATCTTATATGTAATTGTTTTATGTGGTAAATATAGAGTATGGATCGTGGTTCCTTCATCCTTCTCTTTCTTTTACCATTCTCACTGGCTGCCATACCAGTATATATCTGACCCACATCCTCAGCTTGACTCACTTCTACCAAGAGGATGAAGGCAGTATGTTCCTCTGAAATGCTGGTAACTACCTAGAAGACTATACTTTGTCACAACCCAGAAGACCACGATCCACATTTTTAATGCCATGAAAACTTTGGATCTCTGACAGTATCTCTGATAAGGGATGGCAGATGTGCTATGCTCCTGGTAAGTTAACCAGCGAAGGAAATGCACTTTGGGAGATACTCTGTATCTTGATTGGTAAGCTGTTGGTGACACAGTACATTTTGTCATCAAAAATCCTTCCTGTGTTTTGTTATGGATTAATATACAGGAAACTTAATTCCTGATTGAAGCCACTTATTTTTATGTTTAGTTATCATACCTGATTATAACAGGTTTGCATTAACCCCTCAACACCATGGGACATTTAATTTTTACACAGTTTTGGAGGCAGAGAATATTTAAATATTAAAGCTTTAAAATGCAATATTTCATTTGAACAGCAAAATATTTGAAAGAAACGATATTTTTTCCTTATAACTTTAACACTTGTGTCCAGAGAAGTGCACAGAATTGACATAAGACTATTTCAGAATTACTTTTTTCACAGTATACTTTTAAGAATTATGAAGGAACGGAATTTATTACCCTATAAATTATGCTTGGTGCAGTAGTTATTTGAAGAATGTCAGACTGGAACTTTGTGTTCCAGCGCATTTCACAAAGTCTTGTAGCTAACTGCCTTCTAAATGACAGCTGATCATTTCTTTTCCCTGCGTTATTTATGTATATTATCATGGCATTCAGAATTGAGATATTCAGAAGCTTGCAAAATATACCATTTGTTCATTCACTTTCTCTCCATCAAATAGGTGTGCGGCAGTCAGCCTTTCAAGTCATCCCCACACATGCATTGATTGTAATCTAACATTGAAATGGGCTTGACTATTTCTTTGCTTTTAACTGTAACAGCCCTAGTGTCATGACTGACACATAGAAATCAGTGAAGATTTGTCTCTCCACTTTGTGACAGAAACAGGGCCAGAATGCTGTGCTATTCACCTTCTTTCAGTTTTGTGTCTCTCATTTGTCTTGAAACATTTTTTCTCTTCAGTTTAATATACTGATCCAGTCTGTCTTGTGTAGTAGTCTTCATTGTTTTGTCCAGATATGGTGAGTTACAGAAATTATACATCCACACAGTCCATCCCTGTTTCAGTACAGGCTCTGCCAGTTTCAGACTAATTGCTGTTGTTTCTTTGGTGTTGACTATGTCCTTGCCTGCATGTACAAGAAAGGACCACAAGTCTGCAGTAGTAATGTCACACAGCTCATAAGTTTTGATTCAAAATTTTTATACCATGGGAGGAAGGTACTGTCTGAAAGACAGCCTTTCAAAGTATCAGTCATTTATTTGAAACATCCTGATTTGATAAATACAGTTTCTGAAATTTGTTATTTAGATGTGAAATTATGGGGAAGAATGTTAAAAAAAATTCTGTCCTTGAAATCTGTTGACAGTTTCAGTTTTAGTAAAATGCAAAATAATTACAGATAGTTTCTGTCTCTGCTGTTGTAATGTCTCCAAATCCTGGTGTAGAAATTACCCTTCTTGTGGAAATATGATCTTGGTAGGTAGGCCCATAAGCATAAAGGGGCCCAGTAAAACATAAATTTTCCCCTCAGTCACAGGTTTCTAGGCCCTAGCAGTTGAGCTGCTTGATAATTTATGCCCCAGTAGAAACTGCTTGGCTTATCTATTGGTCTCTTCAACAGTTTTATAAGTTCTCTGCTGCAAAATGACTCAAAAAATATCCACAATTTTTTTCACTTGTTTTGCAGCACCTTGAGGCCCAATACTACCCATGACATTTTTCCTTTGTCCCTTGTATTTGTTTGTGTCTGCCCATACAAAGTCTTAAGTAATTTAATCACTGTTACTGCCCACCACAACACCGAGAAGGGTACAGTCATCCAGTTCATTGTCAATATCATACACTGAATCTGATAAAGTTTCTTTGCATTCACTGCCAAGAAACATTAACCCACTTTATCACTCAGAATACCTGATCACTTCCTGCTAGTAGACACCAGGCTTGTACATGCTAACTGCACAACACAGGCATTTGTATACAGAATTGTAATTGTTTTGTATGTGGCTGGAAGACTTTTATTATACCTTTATGAGTCAAGATGAAGCCATAAAAAATTCCAGTTCATGTTGTAAATACTTAAGTCAAGGCAGCACTGTCTGGATCATGAAACAGTAATTGAAAACACTCAACAATTTTTGTTTTTGTTTTGATCAACAGGCAGGGAGTAAGTAGTCAATCTAAGTTTTGATTCATATTGATCTAATGCATTTAATTCATGAGAAATCCCATAGTAGAGACAGGATTTGACTGTAATGTAACATACGAAACAGTCAGGCTGAGAATTTTTTTTACAGATTTGTAATTTATGCGCCACAGGAAAATGAAAGTGTGATAAAACATATGTGAGATGAAAGCCCATAATTTTTTCCTTGATTTCATACTGAATG